ACATTCCATGCTCATGAACAGGCAAAACCAGTATCATTAAAATGGCCATACTGCCCAAAGCAATTTATAGATTCAATGCTATTCCTATCAAACTACCAATGATATTCTTCATAGACTAGAAAAAAACTCTTTAAAATTCATGTGGACCTAAGGCCCAGGTGCAGCGGCTCACCCTGTAATCCCAGCACTTTGGGAGGCCGAGGCGAGTGGATTGCCTGAGGTCAGGAGTTTGAGACTAGCCTGACCAATGTAGTGAAACCCCATCTGCTGAAAATACAAAAAATTAGCTCAGCGTGGTGGCGGGTGCCTGTAATCCCACCTATTTGGGAGGCTGAGGCAGGAGAATCACTTGAACCCGGAAGGCAGAGGTTATGGTGAGCTGAGATCATGCCATTGCACACTAGCCTGGTAGCCTGGGAAACAAGAGTGAGACTCTGTCTCAAAAAAAAAAAATTCATACGGACCTAAAAAATAACCCAAATAGCCAAGGCAATATTAAGCAAAAAGTAAAAACCTTGAGGCATCACGCAACCTGACTTCAATCTGTACTACAGGGCTATAGTAGCTAAAACAGCGTGGTACTAATACAAACCACACAAAGATCAATGGAACAGAATGGAAAGACCAGAAGTAAGGCCACACACCTGCAACTATCTGATCTTCAACAAAGTTGACAAAAACAAGCAATGGGAAAGGATTCTGTATTCAATAAATGATGCTGGGTTAATTGGCTAGCCATATGCAGAAGACTGAAACTGAACCCTTCTTACGCCATATACAAACTTCAACTCAAGATGGATTAAAGACTTAAATGTGGCCAGACATGATAGTTCACTCCTGTAATTCCAACACTTTGGGAGGCCAAAGTGAGTGGCTCAATTAGGGTCAGGAGTTCAAGACTATCCTGGCCAATATGGTAAGACCCCATCTCTACCAAAAAATACAAAAATTAGCCAAGCATGGTAACGCACGCCTATATTTCCGGCTACTTGGAGACTGTGGCACAAGAATCACTTGAACCTGGTAGCAGAGGTTGCAATGAGCCAAGATCACACCACTGCATTCCAACCGGGGCAACAGAGGGAGATTCCATCTAAAAAACTAAAAAGATTTAAATATAAAATTCAAAACTATAATCTTGGAAGACAATCTAGGCCATACCACTCTGGCCAGTGGAACAGGCAAAGATTTCATGACAAAGATGCCAAAAGCAATTGCAATAACAACAAAAATTGACAAATGGGATCTAATTAACTAAAGTGCATTCTACACAGCAAAAGAAACTATCAACAGAATAAACAGAAAACTGACAGAATGGGAGAAATTTTTTACAAACTGTGCATCTGACAAAGGCCCAATATCCAGCAACTGTAAGTACCTTAAACAAACTTACATGAAAAAAATAACCCCATTAAAAAGTGGGCAAAAGGCTGGGTGCAGTGGCTCATGCCTCTAATCCCAGCACTTTGGGAGGCCAAGGAGGGTGGATCACCTGAGGTCAGGAGTTCAAGACCATCCTGACCAATATGGTAAAACCCCATCTCTACTAAAAATACAAAACTAGCTGGATGTGGTAGCATGCGCCTATAGTCCCAGACATTTGGCAGGCTGAGACAGGAGAATTGCTTGAACCTGGGAGGTGGAGGTTGCAGTGGGCTGATATTGTGCCACCTGATTCCAGTCTGAGTGACAGAGCAAGACTCCAAGTGGGCAAAGGACATTAACAGCCATTTTCATAAGAAGACATATATGCGGCCAAGAAGCATATGGAAAAAAAGCTCAACATCACTGATAATTAGAGAAACACAAATCAAAACTACAGTGAGATACTATCTCATACTAGTCAGAATGGCTGCTATTAAGAAGTCAAAAAATAACTGGTGATAGCAAGGTTGCAGAGAAAAAGGAATGCTTATACACTGCTGGTGGGAGTGTAAATTAGTTCAACCACTGTGGAAAACACTGTGGCAATTCCTCAAAGACCTTCAACCCACAATCCCATTACTGGGTATATACTCAAAGGAATATAAACATTCTGTCATAAAAACACATGCACACCTATGTTCACTACAGCACTGTTCACAATATCAAAGACATGGCAGCAACCTAAATGTTCATCAGTGATAGACTGGATAAAGAAAATCTGGTACATATATACTATGGAATACTATGCAGTCATTAAAACATGAGATAAGCCGAGTGTTGTGGCTCACGCCTGTAATCCTAACACTTTGGGAGACCGAGGAGGGCAAATCACAAGATCAGGAGATCGAGACCATCCTGGCCAACACTGTGAAACCCCATCTCTACTAAAATACAAAAAATTAGCTGGGTATGGTGGTACGTGTCTGTAGTCCCAGTTACTCGGGAGGCTGAGGCAGGGGGATTGCTTGAACCTGGGAGGTGGAGGTTGCAGTGAGCTGAGATGGTGGCACTACACTCCAGCCTGGTGAGAGAGCAAGACTCCATCTCAAAAACAAAAACCAAAAAACAAACAAACAAAAAAACAACGAGATCATGTCCTCTGCAGGAACATGGATGGAGCTGGAGGCCACTATCCTTAGCAAACTAATGTGGGAACAGAAAACCAAAAACCAAACGTTCTCACTTACATGTGGGAGCTAAGTGATGAGAACACATGGACACAGGAACAACAGACATTGGGGCCTACTAGAGGGTGGAGGGTGGGAGGAGGGAGAGGATCAGGAAAAGTAATTAATGGGTACTATGCTTAATATCTGGGTAATGAAATAATTTGTACAACAAACCCCTGTGATGCATACCTATGTAATAAACCTGCACAGAACTTACATTAAAAAAAAAATGCAATAATTAAAAAATAAAGGGCTTCCCAAAATACAAAAATGGGAAAAAAAATTAGAAGATCCTTTCTTCTTTTAGGCTATTTCTTTTAGTATCATTATTCGTATAAAGGTCTTGGTTTTCCAGATAGCACCTCTTTATGCATGGATCTTTTAATCCTTACATAGTCCTGTAAGGTAGTTATTACCCCAATTTTATAGATGAGGAAAATAAAGCTCAGAGGGTTTAAATGACTTGTCCTTCAACTAGTAAGAAGCAGAAACAAAATTCTTATTCAACTATGCCTTCTACAATTTAGATAGCTCTTGTTTCCTACATCCTGCTTCTTCACATATCATTTTCTTTTAATCACACTAACAGACTTTACCCTGCAATAGTGGAAGTCTCCTATGTCTTTCCAGGACCAGTGGTAAAGCTGGTGTCACCAATATCCCTTGCCACTTCACACGCATGAAGGGAAAATGGATCTGTATCAAAGAAATATCTGAAGCCCATTTTTCAGTCCTTTCATCTCTACCTGAGCTCTCTTCCATTCCTCATATCCAAACTTGCTGGGGAAAGCAGGAAGATAAGACAGAACATACCTGTGTTGAATATGCTTGCACTCACAGGTTTTCCTCTGTTCATCCCAAGGAAACACTGTTACCAAACTCACTTCCCCAGGGTAAACCAATAACACCATGAGCAAGCTGCTGACTCATTACTTTAAGATTTTAATGGGAACTTTTTTTCTAATTGGTATTCCACTGAAAAGTTTTGGTTGTAGTGGTGCTAAGAGGAATTGGGTGATGGAAATAAATTTCATCTAAGGATCCGTACATACTAAATAATCCTTATGAAGTGTTAATGGAAAGCATCTGATCTTCTAGAAACAAAACCAGGCAAGTATATAATGGTTTGCCTTTGCTCAAGATGATTTAACCTTTAATTCTGTCATGCCAAATGAGTATGATGGAATGGCGAAGGGGGTTGGCACAATAAATCTATTAAACTATCTTACCAATACTTTATATAATTATTACCTTCATTTCTTGATAGGATACATGAGGACTGGAGAGGATCACTAACTTGGCTCAGAGACAAAAGCAGCAGAGCTGGAAGGAGCTAAGCTTATCCAATTCCGGAAGCAACACTCTCTCTTACACCATCTGTATTTTTCCCACATCTGTATATTTCCCACAATACATCAAATAAGACAAGTCCTAATGGTCTGGATGAATCGGAAACTATGAATAAAGACACTTAAAATGGGCATAGGTCAGGCACAAGGCAAGCAAAGCTCTTGTCTGGCTCTCATGTTCTATGACTCTATGAAAACAGTCAGGCCACATTCTCCCTAATCTTAAAACTAAAGCGATCTCTCATGAAAGCACAATCCACATGCCTAAAGGGCTCCAAAATTCTTCATGAGCAATATTACTGCAGATTTGCATAAAGAGATAACATATGCCAGCCACCACAGAGTCCGAGGGAAACACGGTACTTTCTGTTAAATCTGTCCTCAGTAGCCAGTTTATTTTTAAAAAGTAACTTACCACTGTCCCACCACTTCCAAGTCTTCCGTTTCTTCTAATATTTGAAAAACATCAGGGTTTTCTGCAGCTTTGTAGCCAATCCCCATGATGCTGTTTGTGCCTTGCAAAATAAAGAAGGCCACAGCAGAGAAGGCACTGCTAGCACAGCAGTGGCGGAGAGGGAGTGTGTTGTTTAGAACAAGGTCCTTCATGTACCATTCTGAACCACCATCTTGCATAGCGGCCCTGGCCGCAAAATACTCCATGGAAACAAGGTGAAGACAAGAAGTACAGGGTGCATATGTAACTTCTGTTTGTAGGCAGTGTATTCACTTTCTTGTTCTATCAGGGGAAAGCACTACTGATGGTGCAGGGAAGGAAGAGAAGTCCTGTCTGGCTTCTCACATGGTATGTCTATGAAAACAGGCCACATTCTCCCTCACCTTAAAACTAAGTCAGAGTATCAAAACTACTAAACCAGAAGTTTACTTTTTTTCAAACAGTAAGACATTTGAACTGGAGCCCCTAAACATTGAAGTATCTTCACTAAAAGGGATATACTAACTTCTGAAAAGCATTTCCATACACTTTACTTCGTTTCTTGGAAAAAGAAAGAAAACGCTCACACAAATACAGAGATGTGCACAGAATCATGCTCCTTACCAAAAGTTACTTCTCCTTTGCCAGCTTTGTCAAACAGCTGAAAGGCTACCATAAACAAAGCATCAGGGGCACACAGGACAGATTCAAAGGCAACAAATTCTTGAAAAGATATTAATCTGCAACATAAAACAAACACAAAGCATAAAGTCAGCAGCATGCAGAAAACAGAAGCATATACAAACACACACTGAGGGAAAAATATCACTACCAAAAGACAAAACTAAAACCTGAAAACATGTAGAAACATTGAGCATTTACTTCTACATATAGTGGATGGAAATAATAATGCACAGAATCTGAAAGACATGACAGCATTGACAATATAGTGATACACTAAATACATTATAATTTCAAATGTAACTGTTTTTTCCAGAATCGTATATGTTTTAATATTCTTTCAGGCATGTTTTTGCGTTCTATAATTAAAGTGTTAGATACTTTAGGCTAAGATGTGACTGCCTAATAGCAAAATAGAGCAACTTTGTTATTCATTAGTATCTTTATACACCATGGTTCACAGATATTGATTCATTACCAATATTTACTGACCACCTGTGAACTGACCTAGGGCCAGTACGGGAGAAATACAGATAAACGAAACATGAAACACGACCCCAAGGAACTTCTAGTCTGGTGAGGCAGATACCACTAATCTAGAAATAGACTAGCATATAGAGGAAGGACACATCATAAAACAAGAGCTAGTACAGTAATAGAAGGCTTTGTGGCAGAAATGGCATTTGAACCAAACCTTAAAAAATTAGTACAATTTGGATATGCAGTAATGGGTGTACAAGAGGGCATTTCAGGCAGAAGGCACAAGAAAGCTAAGGAGTATACAAGGAAAATTATGAGTGACAGATTTTGTCTGGACAGTGGAGTGCATAAAAGAACAAGGTAAAATTAGATTAGAAATATAGGACCAGAGGTGGCCTTGAAGCAAGAAAAGGGACTGATCATTCTTCTCTAGGAAAAAAGGAGTGACTTTAACTTTCTGAAGGTCAAAATGTGGGTCAAATATAAGCTTTTTAAGAACATGAGAGTCCAAGGGTGTTTGACTTTCTTTTTTTTGAGATGGAGTTTCATTCTTGTTACCTAGGCTGGAGTGCAATGGCATGATCTCGGCTCACCGCAACCTCTGCCTCCTGGGTTCAGGCAATTCTCCTGCCTCAGCCTCCTGAGTAGCTGGGATTACAGGCACGAGCCACCATGCCCAGCTAATTTTTTGTATATTTAGTAGAGACGGGGTTTCACCATGTTGACCAGGATGGTCTCTATCTCTTGACCTCGTGATCCACCCGCCTCGGCCTCCCAAAGTGCTGGGATTACAGGCTATGTTTGACTTTCAAAGAGGAAATGGGTCCCTAAACGCTTTCCTATTTGTATTTTTAACAACTGTTACTTTGAATATCTAAATACTTTAATAATACATTGAGATACTCCAATTCTCAGGATATGGAAGGAAGAAGAAAATAGGAATGCTTTTCATACCTTTCACAAAAAACCTAGTTACTTCTAAACATCCTACAGAGAAAACACATTTTTATAGAAACTGTTACAAAGTAAACTTAGCTGTGTCCCAGAATGTCACCCAATTACAATAATGCTACAAAGAAAGGAAAAACTCAGTGTGTTCAATATAACATCTCAGTATCATTAACCATCCAAAACTCATCCTTCTCAATGCCTGGGAACACTCAGGAAGAGCATCTGTTCCCGGAGAGTACTTCCTGAGGACATTTTATCCTCTACTAAGGTCTCTCTCACCAAGACTCTCTTTGTAAGGAAGACCAGAGGAAGACAGGCAGGAAGGGAAGCAAATAGGAGTCAAGCATTCCTGGCTGAACTCAAGCAGCTTACCATCTGTTAGGAGGAAGGGGAAACAGTCATGGGTACACATAACCACTAGAAATTAAGAGTTAATTGTAATAATAATAATAATAATAAAGCATTAAGGGACATAAAAGGGGTGAACTATTCTGCCTAGAAGAGTTAGGGACTGCTTCATGGAGGCATGGTTTCGACGAACAAATTTTAAAGCTGAAAAGATCTTAGAGATTATCTATTTCAACCTCCTCATTTTACTTGTGAAGAAACAGAAACTGGAAAAAGTTAATGATCTGGGTTAGGCAAAACAATTGGCTTCTACATTTTGGCCTGAAAACCAGGTCTCCTAGCTTCCATTTAACCTGGGTAGAATTCCAACTGCTGTGGGAAGATGGCGAAACCATGCCCCACAGGGTTAGAGAATTTGGTAATTAACAAAAATGTATTGAGCATGTCTTGTAGAACAGTGGAGAAGAAAACCACTTGTTACAGTTCTCTCCATTTGCCACAAAATTGGCTGACAGATGGAGGTTGGTTGGAGCCAACATGGCTGACTAGAGTCTGTGCAGAATAGATTTCTTCTCACGGTGAGTAAACTTTTGACATCAGAGGGCTGAAAACTCACCCTCAGTTCATGCTAATGCCACCATTTCCCAAAGGTGTAACCCATGAAGAAGCATGTAAAGGCACCAGTGCATGCCCAAGACACTTTCCAAACCCCCTTTCCTTTCAGCCAATTAGTAATCACTAAACTGCATGCTCAGAAGCTGTCCTTTAAATCTATGGCTATAAGGTTGGTAGAAAAAGTTAAATTTGAGCCTGACTTCTGTCTCCTTATTCAGCTCCCTGGCAATAAATCTTTCTTGCTGCAAAAACCTGGTGCTTTTGGTTTTTCATTGTGGGCAGGCAAATAGACCCATTTTGGGTTGGTGACTATGGAGAGAGGAGGGAAGAGTAGAGAAGACCTTCTACACTAGGGAAGCAAAGTACAGAGGTGAAAACAAATGGATGTGCTGTGTTTGGAGAAGGATGTTGGAGTTACCAATTCTCCATCTAGCAGGTTATGAGGAGCAAAAGAGGGCCATGAGCGAGATGCCAGCCACCTGGTATGGACCTTAAGGGCCAAGCAACAGAATCCTTTTTTTTTTAGACAGTTAAAAATTACTCAATATTTCTGGATTAAGAAATGTCAGGTTCAAAGCTTTGTTTTAGAAAAAGAACTGGTGTGGAAGATGAATTGAAAGGAGAGAAGAGACGTGGGAAACAGCCTGACAGCCAGGGATCGTAGGGCTCTAAACCTGAGTGAGAGCCCTAGGAATGGAAGCAGAGGAAAGCTAGAGAAATACAGTGGAGGCAGAAATGACAAAACCTGGTTAGGACTGGATGTCGGAGGCCAGGGCCAAGGAAACAGGCCAGGATGCTCCCAAGATTTCCAGCTTGGGTAACTGAGTGGAATGATCCACCACCAAAGATAAAGAAGAAAAAAGAAAAAAAGGAAAGAACTGGAAAGAAGGGAACTGTGGGAGAATGTAACCAATTGTGACTGTTAAATCTGAGGTACCAGTGGGACATGTAGAACACGGTCCAGCCGGAAGCCAAAAGAGACAATGGAATCAAGAGAGATGCTGGTATGGGCAGAACTGTGTCCCCCGTCCCCTAAAATCCCAACTCCTAGAACCTCAGAATGTGACCTTATTTGGAAATAGGGTGGCTGCAAATGGAACTAGTTAAGATGAGATTATAGTGGAGTAGGGCAAGCACCTAATCTGATATGACTGGAGTCTTTACAAGGGAGAAATTAAAAAACAGACATGCAGCACAAGGGAAAAACCAAGTGAAGATGAAGGCAGAGATCAGGGTGATGCTTCTCCAAGCCAAGGAGCACAGGTTGCCCGCCCACCACCAGACGACAGGAAAGAGGCAGGGAACAGATTCTCCCTCACAACCCTCAGAAGAAACCAACCCTGCTGAACTTCCACCTTCGATGTCCAGCCTCCAGAACTTGGAACAACTAATCCGATGTGTTTTTTTAAGCTTCCCAGTTTGCGGTAGAGTACTTTGTTACCAGAGCCTGAAGAAACTAATATAGAGGCCAAGATTGGAAACACATATCTGGCAGTTTTTAAAGAAAGGTTACTTAAAGCTGCAAATAAAAGTGTCCACAAGCATTTCATTTGGAGCTGTTTCCCTTTCCTCTTAAGACATGCTCTAATAAAAGAAGAACTTGAGGAATTCACCAGCAGGCCCGCCACATTCTAGACTTCTAAAGTGGGACAGAGGATAAATGTGTTTCTGGACCTTTACTTCCCAGTCACCATGCCTCCTCATATCCCCACAATCCTGCTGAGCAGGCACCCACAGCCACGCAGCCACACAGTGCTGGTGCTCTCCAGGGGAACTTGCTGGCAGTTTGAGGCAGAAAACAATCATATTTGCTTAATTACCTCTGCACAGACATTAGGTTCATTAAATAGGATCACACTATGCATTATCTAGAAAAGGAATGTTTTTGGTTTCATGGTCGGAATAAAGAAAGCCTTAATATATATATCAAAGGCTTATATAAAGAAATATATATATATGACAGACTATATACATATGCAAGGCTTATAAAGGGATATATATATATATTCTTGCCTGACAATGTCAATGCTTCATAACTGAAAATGGCCAATAAATACTCTGGTATTTTAGCCATGTTATTGATACCAAAAGGTATGTAATTTGGTAATCCTGTTAGATACGAGTATTAGACATCTATACAGGAAGTATACAGATGAACCATGAAATCATAATGTATTATCGTTCACCAAGATCATTTTGGATTTTCAAGGTAATCTAACTAGAAGGCCATCAGAATAATTATATAGTACTATATTTCTTTACAGCATTATACCTAAAAAATGTTTACATATGTATTTTTTGAACAAACAGTGCTTCCGTCTTGCTCTACAGATTTAATGAGTATTAGCATAAGTTACAACAAAGAATTCAAGCTTAATCAAGTTCAGACCTGGCTGGTGAACTCACTTAGTTCCTTTTCTACCCAGAACTCCCAGAACTTCTTTAACAATGTAAGATTCCCTTTGAAATGAATCACACAGCTCTGATTAACTCTATGACTAGAATCTAAGGGAACAGTATTTGACACCACACTCATCTGCAGGAACTAATAGTAGAACGGGTCAGGTAACATGAAAGCAAATGTACAAGTCACATTTTCACAGGGCTATACCACTCAGAGATTAGGGGAGGGTAGGTTTCTAAACCTAACTACTCTATTTCATGG